TTTTTAATAATTTTATCCTTATTATTATAATTTCATAATAAAAAAATTATTTTAAAATTTAAATTATTTTAAATTAAAAAATATTAATTATTCAATTAGAGATGAATCTCTTAATATTAGAAACCTTATCTCCATCTAAATATTTCTATCTTAAATTTTAATATAATTTAAATTATAAAATAATAAATTATTTCATAATTACTTTTTTAACACATTTAATATTACATACTCATTTTATTTGACATACTCTTAAATGATATAATTAAAAAAAAACTAAAATTCATCAAAATACAACAATTATATAAATTAATATGACTATTCTAACTATAATTACTATCGTACAAGTAAAGATAGTGGTGGGGATTGTCCCTTTGGATACGTTATCAACTAAGATAATGATAACTATAAAGATTATGATTGATATAATTTTTGATTCAATACATCTAATATCATTTATTGCTTTAGTCATTAAAATTTATTTTTAAAAATTTTTTCACCTAAAATTTAAATTTAAAATATTAATCTCTTTATAATTAAATCAATAAATATTATTGAATGTATTAAACAAAAAGTCATACCAATAATTGTCCTAACTATAAAAAAAGTTATTCAAAGACGTATAAAAGGAACTACTCAGCAAAGAATGATCATTATCAATTTCAGAACTTTGGTTTTATTATTGATTGAAATTTCATCTTTATCCTTTTAGTAAGATAAGTTAAAGAATTAAGATATGTATTTTTAAAATAAAAAAAATTATAAATAGAGACAAATTCAAAAAAAATTATAATAAGACTTTCGTGCTATTAAAAAAAATCAACACGTAAATTCTTTTGTACAATTTTCTGATTAATTTTAATTATTTCAATTTAATTTTAACATAAAATTTAATCAAATAATTTTATATAAATAAATAAATAACAATACCCACAAATGGATGGATGAGTTAGCAGGAAATTCTTTCACTTTAATCAGAAATCTTGGTTTCAAACCTAAGAATGTAGTTCTATTAAAACTCATGAGGAAAAATTTTACTGTCAGATGAGTCATGTCCTATTCGAATTCAAATTAATCGGTGATTTAATGGGTTTTCGTATATCAAGTGATCAAAAAAAAAATAATAATAATAACAATTAGATGAGTGCAAGGGGTTCATTGGTTGTTTATCACTTTTGTACAGGTTAAGGATATTGCCATCATCACCTTTATTAAGATTATTAATTTGAATGTAATTTTATCAATTTATATTTTTAAAATAATTATTTATAATATCTAAAAATATTTATTTATTTATAAATTAATTTTAATCTATTAAATATTATAATAAATATTAATTATTTTATTAATTATTAATTACTTTTAGCAATTAAATTAAAATAAATTTGTGATAATATTGAGTAAATTTAACTAAAGTTGCTGTGGCCATATCCATTCCGCTTTTTCACCTACCGTTTTGGACAAGGAGTTTTTCTGTACCCTCCGGTTGATGGTTAATTGGGATTGGTTTGGGCTTTCGCAACCATCAGCTCCAACTCATCATCACGATCTTCAATTACTATCATTCTTGTCGGTCCCAATTCATGTTTATCCATATTATATTATAAGAAAAATGATTCAAAAATTAAAATTTAAACCATTAAGATGTGTCATTATAATCATTTTTAAATGAATTTCAATTAAAAATTTGTTTAATGAATGATTATGATGGACATCTTAACATTATTATATCTTGACTTTTATTTTTGTTTAAAAATAATATTTTTGTATAATTTTAGATATTAATTAATTAATTATTTATTTATTTAAAATTTATGATATTAAGTGTATTTATTTATTTTATAATATATAAAAATTATATGAAAAATTATCTATATATCACTATTTATATTATAATTATAATATTTTTGTTTTTCTCTTTTAGTAATTGATTTTTTAAATTTATTTGTTAAAATGAATACAATCTCCTCTTTTTTACCATTTTGATTGCATTAAATTGAAGAAAAATTTATTTGAAGGGGACTGCACTCATATTTATTGTACCCCATTTTGTTGTAGGCATTTGGTAATTCGGACCATAAACCATTTTTTTGGAGATAATATTTTTATGGAGTCTTTACTTTTTATTTGCATTATGGTATTTTGCAATTCAAAAATCTAAGTAGATGACACTGTATGACAAATAGTAGTCGTAATAAAAAAAACAAAAAAACAAAAACAAAAACCATAAATTTTTGTGGTCCATAAAAACTCAGGGTTCAAGTTTTAGGTGGTTGTGAGGGATTGCTTCATGTTGTAAAATTACTCGACAGGAAGTCAGGAAGCCAAGAGAATTAAAATACAAGAAGGTCTAGAACAATCTTAGCTAGGTGGGAAGGTACATGATGTGCTGCCATATTTGAAGCAAAATGAGCTTGACAATACTGTTTTCCAACCTGTCTGTAATATAAAATGCAAAGCAACTAAAGTTTCTTTGACAAAAGAATCAAAAGGAACCCATAATGCTAAATAATGATGACTGATGAGGTCAAGTTTCCTAGTTTTAAAATGGATTAGAAATGACTTAAACCAAACTCTCTTTTCATTGAGTAGTGAAAAAAGTATATATATTAAAGTAATATATTGAGCCAAACTATTGGGTTTAATACCAGCTGCCCCCTAAAAAAATATATGGTGCTTAGCTAACTAAATTTGGTTTGGGATCTCTTTATCTCCAATTTGATGATTTGGAGCTTGAAAATTAAAGTAAGGGTCCAGTGACGATGCCTGATTTGCTAATTAAGGGAAACTTGGCATACATTATGGTATGTTATACAATCACCTTCTATATTTTGTTATGTCATGTAGGCCTGTCAATCAAATTCACATATATTTTATGTTTGCCACCGTGAGTGCCGTAGTGTTGCAAGTGCTTAATTTTCTTATATTTGAATGATTGGATTAAAGAAAAATTAGTTTAGAATCCATTTTAATGGAAAGAAACTCTGAGGAACTGAAAATTAAAAAGTGAAGGGACAAAAGAAAATTGAACTATAATAGCACGTTATGTGTGGTTCCCAGCTGAGATAAGATTGAAGCATGTATCACTTCATGTATGACGCATGACTTAAAAGAAATCTAACAAATTGCTTGGAGAATGGAGATGGAGGAGATAATACATATGAAAATCCGAAAAAAATTAAAAAATGTAAATCAAAAAATTATCTTACAATCTTGATGGTAAAATATAAGTAATTGGACGTGATTGAATCCCTCATTGTTAGAGTAGGTCTCCTCATCCAATAAAGTAGAATTTTCAATTTCACACAACTTAAATTATGCAAGGATTTTTTTAATATGTATCATTATGATACAGATTAAGAGTATTTTATTATAATAAATTTATACAAAAAACATAAAAATAAACATTAATTTTAAAGTTCATGTTACGTAAATAAATTTAATTAGACCCTTGATAAATCAAATATTATTTTTTATTTTTTAAAAATTTTAATGTATATTTTTAGAGTTCAGGTTACAAAAACCCATTACACAAAATCAAAACTTAATACATATAAATTACTTTTTTTAAAATTTTTTAGTTATCTTAATTTGATAGTGTATGTATGTTTAAGCATTGCTTCTTCCTTTTTTTTATAGTAGTGTATTATTTAAAGACAAGTGTTTTCAATGGAGAATGACCTAAAGTTCAATTCAACTCCAACTCCAATCCTAATCCATTTACTTCTAAATACTGATCCTTATCCATTCTGCAACGACATCACATTACAATATTACATCCTCTTGGAATTTTGACCTCGTAATCGTCAGTGACACAGTGCTCAAGACTTGATAGAAATCCTCGTGATAAGAGCTATGGGCCTATGGCTGCTGAAGGCACCGAGTTGTCTCCGAAGTACACCGGCCCAATAAAGTATAACCCACTCATCATTCGTCGGTCATACCCAAACCCAACTAAAAGAGAGAATACAATCGATAGGCAAAACCCATGATAATGGGCCGACCCATTTCCCTCCTCTCTCTCTCTTTTTTAATTAAACACAGAAAATTGGAGAGGGATGTGCATAATTTCCAAGTTTTAGGAGTAGAAGTGTCGAACTCTCAAACCGAACAATAGACCTAAAACACTTGTATACATTTTGAAATGATGTTATTATCATACTCTCAATTGTTAATGTTATACATTTTATTTTAATTAGTTATTATTTTTAATAAACATATAATTTTTTTTAAATAATATAAAGATATAATAAACAATTATATTAAAAAAATATTACATTAATTACTTAAGGTATGATAATAATTAATCTCATCATTTGTTTTGAGAAGTATTTTTTTAATTGAAGGTTTTTTTATCACAATATATTTTCTCTTATTAAATTGTTTTTTTTTAAATATATTTACAAGGGCCGGATTTGAACAGTTGCTCGAAAAGAGGAGAATGTATTTTAACGTGATTTTGTTGTCATTGAATTCGAAGGCCCAAATGCCCTTTATTAAATTGTTAATGTGAGAAAAAAAGAGAAAATAAATACTAGTGAAATAAACATATTTCGAATTTACATTTTCTCATTGTCACCCCAACCCTTTTCTTTTTTTTTTTTTGTAAAATAATAAAAAATCTTCTTCCCATTCTTATATCCTCTGAATAAAATAAAATAAAAAGGAAAAGCTTAAATTTGGAAACCAAAGGATTATAATATCTCGTCTCCAACTACAGATTATTAGTTGCTTGAAATCCCATCCAAACATAATTCATCACAAACCGATTCCCAACTGAAATCTGCGGTACGTGAACGTTACCGCTAGCCAGTGCCTTCTCACAATAATCTATGAAATCTCCGACGACCTTGACATCATAATTGGCCGTCATGGGATCTTCAGACAGCTCCCCCACCACCATCTTGAACGACCGGATCACTTCTTGGTAGTTGCCGGCGCACGACTTTATCGCCGGTGACGTCGTTTGCCCGCTTGTGATCATGCCGTTGATGATGTCAAGCGTGTGCTGCGCATTGGTGGCTGCCAGATGTAGGATTACTTTGGTGAGGCCATTGAGGGATGTTGCGGCGGCCGCCTCGGGATTGGAGAGAGCCTTGAGGCAGAACCTTCGGTTCGTTATGGCAGAGCCGTTGCATACTTGTTCAACTAGTTTGGAGGATGGCGGTGGAAGTTGTCTTGAATGTTTTGGAGCCCTCGCCATTGCCGGTGCCGGAGAAACGATGAGGAGAGCCAAGAAAATGGCGGCCGACACCAAGCGATGGTTTGGAGGAGCCATTGCTGATTAATGCAAGAAAAGGGTTGTCGTGAAGTTTCTCATGTTTGTTTTTGCTTTTATAGAGATGAAAGAAAACCGTTTTCCTTGTACCTACCCAATTTTGCATGGGAAAAGAAATAGTATATCTAATTTTTTTTATGGTAAAAAATAGTGTTTCTAAACTAATGACATCACTTCAGTATATATAGAAAAATTAATCTCATTTTTTATATATAGAAAAATATAGCTAACACCATACCACTAGTAAATTTTAAGGGTGTTTAAGGTCAATAATTGTTTTTAATATAACTCATCCATTGTCCTTATTAGTAGATGTTTTTTATGAGGATTTCTCGGAAATCAGGTATGAAAAAAAGGAAAAAAAGATAGAAAAATCCATTTGTTTGCCTAATCATCAAAGGAAATCGATGGTTTGTTAAAAATGGTAAAAATAGGGTTAAACCCAATTTACTCCGTCATCTATTATACAAACGTATAAATTGGTCTTTAAATTAAAAAAAAATCCT